AAGGGTTTTATATTTTAATGGCTTTGGGGGGTTAATGACTTGTAAGGTGTCCAAGCCAGTAAGTAATGGAGAGCATCTGTTGACTTGAGTAATAAATTTCAAGCTTGTTTAGAATTCTGCTTATGTGTTAAACTTGAGTTTCTCCAGTGAGTCTTTTTGTATCTTAGATGATTTATATCTTCCTGGGGAATCATTTAGAGTGTGTTTTTTTAAACAAGTGGTCTTCATAAAGACTTGGGCAGACGAATATATATCACGCTCACTCAAACATCTGGACTAGACAGGGCAGGCAGTTTTGTTTGATGTTTGTTACGGAAATGGCACCATCGGATGTTAACAATGGCATCATCGGATGTTAACATTATTTTTTTCTGATCTTAACATCACGTTTAAAACATGCTGTTCTTTTTTCTGCTTTCCAACTTAGCATCACTCTACTGAGTGGAGAGACGGAGAAGTAGATGTCCACGCCCACAGACCCTGGTGCGATGCCCCACCCAGGGCCTGGACGTTCCCCTGGACCAATTCTTGGACCTAGTCCAGGACCAGGACCATCCCCAGGTTCTGTCCACAGCATGATGGGGCCAAGTCCTGGACCTCCAAGTGTCTCACATCCTATGCCAACAATGGGGTCCACAGACTTCCCACAAGAAGGCATTCATCAAATGCATAAGGTAAGAATTTATTCTTGTGTTCAGTCTCGTCTTCTGATTCATGTATGGCTTATATTTCTGATAACCCCATCCCTTTTTTGTTAAGAAGAGAATCAGAGGAGAACTTTGTCTTATCTTGCATGTTATTAAAAATGCACGTCCTGAGATACTTTTATCACTTCAGATGTTGTACCAGACATGAAGATCAGATGCTGGCTGTTTTAAGATACTAAGATAGACTATGCAGTTCTGACAGTTAGGTCCTATGATTATGGGTTCAAAGTATTTTGTCATGATGAATAAGTAAACTAGTGTTTAAGTCTTATTAATTTTTCTATCTGTGTTAAGTAACTTACATCATCCACTAATAAACACGGTGAAAATTATCCTACCCTAAAATGATTGGCACTTATTTTTAAAAATTGAATCCTAAAGAGTACAAGGAAAAAAATCCTTCCTTAAAGGAATTTTTTAAGGCTTTACTGAAATTAATCAGTCTCTAGGGAATCCCTAAAATGTACATTGCTGTCTCTCTGTGAAGCAGTTTTATTCTGGCTTTGGAAGAAGGTTCTGATTTTACACAACTCACGTCCAGCTGTTTGTTTCTGGACTAAGGTTATAATGATCCTCTGTTTATGAGACTCAGATTGTTGCTGTGGGGATGATCATATCTGTACAATTTGGCATTATACTTTCACAGAAGATGCAAAGAGGAGAGAACAGCCTTTTGCGAAAATAAACAAGATCCTCTATGACAATTTGCTTTGAAAGTTAGCAGTAACCAGGGAAAATCCATGAAGACATTGCACACCGCCTGAAGGTTTTGCCTAATGAGACAAGTAGAGGTTTTACGTTCTTTTCGATGTCATCAACAGATGGATAGGGTGATGGAGCTGCCTCCTGATATTAAGTAGGCATATTAGTCACAGTTCTCCAGAGAAACAGAACCAACAGGAGATATAGAGAGAAAGAGATTTATTATCAGGAATTGGCTCACACAATTATGAAAGTTGAGCAGTTCCACAATATGCAGTCAGCAAGCTGGAGTCCCAGGAAAGCCTGTGGTATAGTTCCAGTCCAAATTGGAAGGCCTAAACCCAGGATAACTGATCATGTGAGTTTCAGCTGAAGTCCAAAGACCTGACAACCAGAGGAGTCAATGGTATAAGTCCCAGTCCAAGGACAGGGGAAGATTGATGTTCCAGCTTAAGCAATCAGCAGACAGAGAAAGAGAAAGTAACTGCTCCTTTCTTCTGCCTTTTTATTCTACGCAGGCCCCCCACGGATTGGATGAGGCCCATCCATGTTTTGAAGGGCAATCTTCTGTATTCAGTCTAACAATTCAAATACTAATCTCATCTAGAAACACCCTTGCAGACACACTCAGAAATAATGTTAGATCAAACATCTGGGCACCTGTGGCCAGGACAAGTTGACATATAAAATTAACCATCACAGTAGACAGGCATTGGAAGATATTGGCTTAAAACAAAAAGATTACACAGAAAAGAGCAGGTCTTGCCTCTTAATTGTGCAGGACCTTATGTCAATCTTAAGGTAGAGCACCAGGGCCCAAAAGGGAAGATTCGTTTGTTGAAAATTTTGTTATTTGATTATTTTCAAATCAAGAAAGTAATCTATGCTTGTTTTGAAAAGTAAAATAATATTGAGCTAAATAAAGAAAATGATTAATCCTAGCTTCACCCAGGTAGCAGCTATTTGTACATGCTTTTTGTACCTTATTTTTTATTCTTGTTCAGTAAAAATACTGTATAAGCACAGGCGTGTATATATGGGTGTGCTTTTTTCCTTAGCTTTTCTTTTACCATAATAGAATCATATTATCTCCGTTAGTTACTCTGAAACTTACTTTTTTCATTTAATTTCCTTTAATATGGCCCAGTTCTCTCCATCCTTTTTTTAAATTAATTTTTTAGCTTAGCAAATATAGAGAGAAATAAAGCTGCTTGCTTTTCTTTTTATTTTTTTTTTTAAGCAGGATTTTTTTGAGAGGACAGAAAAGCTCCCATAGTGGGAGGGGACCTGAAGGGGTTGCCCAGCTGCATGTTTTTCATGTCATATTTTGTAGGGGACTTACTCAACATATTGGCATATTGTAGTCCTTAAATTATCTTGTGTTTAGATTAAATTAACTAGGGAACTGTATTCTAGATCTGATCTGTCACTTGTAAACCTTTGCCCAAGTAGATTACATAATTTCAGAATGATTTGAAGAGCTCTCTCCTTCCAAATGAAAGATAAAACTTGGAGGAAATATTTAACTAACCTTTATTGTTATTTACACATTTAAAAATTGATTGTGTAAGTGTTGGGAATGTTGGGTCAGTTTTTGTTTTGTTTTGTTTTACTTGACTGTTTCTATTGATTATCATTTCTTCTGATCCCTTCTGTTTTATCACCTAGCCCCCTTCCATGCTTTTGTTTTCAATTTGCTTTGCTCTCATTCTGCAAGTTTTGCATTTTTTTCTGCTTTTCCTGAGCCCCACCCGCTTAGATAGTTCCCTGCGTGAGGACATGTGTGAACACTTCGAGCTCACACCTGCTGACCAGATGCCTTTACTTTCTTCCTTTTTTTTTCTTATAGGCAACTTTATTTCTTGTCTTGCTCCTCCTTCTCCCCCTGAGCTTCAGCTTTTTGCTTTTCAACATTACTGGAAATAAATAAACAAGTGGCCTAAATACATCTGCTATGTTGCTTTGATTTCCTCTCTATTATTACTATTTAACAGACTCAGTGATACTCTTTATACCAGATTCTTCCCATTTTTCTTCTGAACATCCTCTTTATGGTAAATTTTTCCTCTTTTCAAGCGCATACTTTTGACTCTCCAGAAATTAACTGTCTTTTCTCCAAAACTGCAAACGCTCGTACTTTCTTTCTTGAAGTCATTTGGTTTCTATAAACTCCTGGAAATATTTCTTTCAGGCTGTTTTGAAAATTGCTATTACATTGGGGAGGAATAGGCTTTTCCTTTTTCAACCAGATGTTTCGTTGCTCAATTCTGGATCGGATTAACATCAGTTCAATAGCTATTCATTGTAAGTCTGTTATGTCCTAGGCCTCAAGTTCTAGGTCCAGGCCCATGTTCATCATTTATTTTCAAATTTGTCTTTAACCTTTTTCATTCTTCCTCCCTCTTAGTACACAACTATTTCTTTCACACCCCTTCCCTTTTAGTACTCATCCCCCATTCACTGCTCTGCCCTGTCTGTTCCTCTCTTTCCAACTGTCATAGAACCTTCTGGTTTCAACTTTTAAACTTTTCATAGCTCCTTCCCCTCCAATGGAAAAAAATTTTTAAAATATTATCATAGACTTTTTAAATAGTCTTCCATCAGACTTCAGACTAACTTCAACATGTAACACGTTTCAAGACTACTTACAAGGGTATGCAAGAATGGCTTATATTTGTCTATCTTGTAAACAGGACTTTATTTTTATTGGCAAGTTTTGAAATTACAAAAACATCAGTTGTTTAAAGCTTGATTTTTGACTTGATTTATAGATGGTTTTGCTGAACCCATTGGTGTAGTCTCTCTTTTTTTTTTTTGTCCCCACCCATAAGGGTCTAAAAATATATGACCAAAAATAAGTAACAAGTGATTGTGCCGCATTTTTAAGACTTTAGGGAGGGATCTTAAAGCTCCAAATAGAAATATTGTGCCTTAAAGAGGTGTCTTAACTGATGTCCTTTAAATGTTTCAGCCCATTGATGGTATGCATGACAAGGGGATTGTGGAAGATATCCACTGTGGATCCATGAAGGGTACCAGTATGCGACCACTTCACCCAGGCATGGGCCCTCCCCAGAGTCCAATGGATCAACACAGCCAAGGTTTGTGTCTGCTACATACCTGATTTTGGTTCCATACCATTGTCTTTCCTTTTGAATATTTTAATTATGACTTCCAAAGAATGTGTCTAAGGAAGGTTGAATCCAGCAGGGTTCTTTTACTTATGGTAATCCACACCAACACAACTTTATGATTTATATGAGAAATTTTATTTCCAAAGTCCAAGTAATTGTACTAGTCACCATGTGTCCAAGCACTCTGAAAAGTGCTTTTTGTACTTTATACAGAATCTTTATTGTGATCTTGTAGGGTAAATGATGTTACCTCAGTCTTATAGATGGAGAAGCTACAGCTAGAGAATTTACTTTGTTTCCCTAAGTTTACACATCCAATCAGTGACAAGACCAGAGAGAAAATCTAGGTCTGCCTCTCAGCAACAGCATAGATGCAAAAGTAAGATGAACCACCTGTGTGTCTTGAATTGCACGCTTATACATTGTCTATAAGGTAGCATTCTCTGACAGGGAAATCCTGTTATTGTTTGCAAGTGGCTAGGGCTCCTAGGTCTGCCATAACAAATTTTGAGTGGTTCAAAACAACAGTAATGTATTTTCTCACAGTTCTTGAGGGGAAGTCTGAAATCAAGGGCTATGCCCTCTCTAAAGGCTTTTGGGAAGAACCTTTCCTTGCTTCTTCCTAGCTTTTGGTGATTGTCAGTAACCCTTGGCATTTCTGGACTTGTAGATGCATCATTTCAATATCTACCTCAGTCTTCATGTGATATTTTTCCAGTGTGTTTGTCTGTGTCCAGATTTTCTTCTTTTTATAAAAATACTCGTCAGTGGATTAGGGCCTTTCCTAATCTAGCACGACCTCATTTTAACTCAATTATATCCACAAAAATCCTATTTCCAAGGTCACATTCACAAGTACTAGAGAGGTTAGGATTTACACATATTGGGTTGGGAGGAGACATGCTTCAGCCCACAACAATGGCCAAATCAATATATAATTTAATAATTTTTTTTCTCCTTTGTGCCTTTTGTGTCCTCTTTCCTTCACTCACTTGCCTTAATATACATGTTAAGATATCTCAAAGCCTTTTTTTTTTGAGTTGGAGTCTCACTCTGTCGCCCAGACTGGAGTGCAGTGGCTGCTCCCGGCCACCGCAGCCTCGACCTGCTGTGCTCCGGCGATCCTTCTGCCTCAGCCTTCCAAGTAGCCGGAATTACAGGCATGGCTAATTTTACGCCCGGCTGATTTTTTTATTTATTGTAGAGATGAAGTCTCGCTGCCCAGGCGGGTCTCGAGCCCGCGGGCTCAGGCAATCCACTCACGTCAGCCTCCCAAAGGCGCGGGATTACAGGCTGAGCCACCGATCAAAGCCTTTTAATATACCGTAGCCTGATTTCAGAATCATCGTGTGGTCATTTCAACATGTGAAGGGCATGGATTAGTCTAGTACTAATTAACATTAGTAGTGATAATTAATATTAATATGCAGACATTCTAATTTAAGGCTTATGGTTTTCATATTGTGGCATGTAATCCTGTGTAAGTGTGTGAGTTTTTCATCTGTCCTTGATCAAATAACCATCCACCTGAGGGAAGACTTTTTGGTTGGAAGGATTTAGAGGAATGTATTCACAGTTGTTTCCTTTTTGAAATATAAATAGGCAAGTCATGGAGGCATAGGCATGCCTTTCCACTCATACTTGAGCAGGTTTTTGAACGTCCCGATTCTGATCTGATTTTTGGTGTCAGGCAGACATACAATTATGTCTCATTGCAGATGACTCATAGAATTTTGACCCTGTCAGAAAAGCAGGCTTTAGCATTGAGACTTTTTGCAGTACAGGAAGAAAAAAAATGATCCATTCACCTTTACAAATGAATTAAGATAACACATCCAGGTTTATCATTTAAATTCTAAGATGCCAGGTGTGTTCATAGAGCTGGTGTGGATCTTATTTTTAAAACCTGGGAGGTGTAGATGGCTAATATTCAATGATTCTTGAAGCCAGGTGCTTGCTTCTGTTCCTGGCTTTGCAGTATCTTTAGTAGTGGGGCCCTAAGTAACCCCCAAAACAAAATCACTAAAACTCTTTAAATGTACAAAACATAATTGAGAGCAGTTTTGCTTTTATTTCTCTTATAATTTCTCTGATCGCTTGACTTCCTTCTTCAACTTAAGAATGACGTCTTCTAAATATAAAACCTCAAAATATAAGAATCTTAGAAAACACAGGAGACACCCTTTTGGAAATTGGAACTGGCAACCAATTCTTTTTTTAGAACCCTAAATGCCCATACCTTAAGAAATAATATAGATAAATGGGACCTCATCAGACTAACGAGCTTCTGCAAAGCAAAATAAACCCTCAAGAAAGCAGGGAGACAGCCCACAGAATGGGAAAAAAAATATTTACCAACTTTATATCTGACAAAGGCCTAACATCTAGAATCTATAAGGAACACAAATGCGCAGAAAGGAAAAAAACAAGCAACCCCATTAAAAAGTGGGCAAAAGACATGAATAGACACTTCTCAGAAGATATACAAGCAGCCAACAGACACATAAAAAAGTGCTCAACCTCACTCATCATCAGAGAAATGCAGTCAAAACCACATTGAGATACCACCTAACCCCAGTAAGAATGGCCATCATTAATAAAACAAACAATAACAGATGCTGGCAAGGGTGTGGAGAGAAATGAATGCTTCTGCACTGCTGGTGAGAATGCAAACTAGTGCAACCTCTTTGGAAGACAGTGTGGCAATTTCAGAAAGAACTAGAAATTGACCTTCCATATGACCCAGCAATTCTCCTATTGGGAATATACCTGGAGGAACTCAAATCATTTTACAAAAAAGATACCTGCGCACGTATGTTTGTTGCAGCTCTATTCACAATAGTAAAAACATGGAACCAACCATGTTGCTCATCGAATCTGGACTGGATACAAAAATGTGGTACATATATACAATGGAATATTATGCAACCACAAAGAAGAACAAACATATGGACTTTGTAGCGAATTGGATGGATTTAGAGTCAATCATACTTAGTGATCTACCACAGAAACAAAGAATAGAGTACCATATGTTTTCACTCATAAGTGGACCTTGAACAATTATCATACCATAAGAAAGGGATTGGTAAACTAGGAATCCCTAGTGGGAAACTGCCAAGGGAAGGGGTGGGATTGGCAGTTGAGGAAAACTGCTCGGGAAGGGAGGGAGGGGCATACCTCATCAACAATGTACCTACCTAATCAGTGTTCGTATACCTAACCCTGAATTGTACCCCACATCTTTATAATAATAATAAAAAAGAACGACATCTTATTTATCTTGGCATCTACACTTGGCATGATATGTGACACATGACTAGCAAAATACTTAGTATATTTTGTCTAATTAGGTATGGAAGAAATTAGGCATTAACAAGTCAACAATTTTAAATAGATCTCAATTTTTATATTATTTCAATAAGATGTAATTACTTTGAAATGCAAAGGTCTGCATTAAGGAAACAGAATTAATGTGTAATAATATGCTCTAAAATAGTAAAATGCATTGTAGTCTGGGGAATTAGTTATTTAAAGATATATTTTTGAGTAAAGCATTGTTAGAATAATGCAGTCCTATCCTATATAATGTTCTAAAAATAATTTAGACTTGGTAATATCATGTATCTTTAAAACACTCATTGTAGGAAGCCATTTATAAACACACAGGTACAAAGAGGTGGTATTGATTTGATAGCTGCCAGCTTTAACTACCTAGCAACCTATTAGGTTATTTTAAGGTATTGGTTGAGACGCAAAACCATTTTCTTCAATAAACACTGAATTGTGTACCTTATGGTCCCAATGATAACATTGTTTATTTTTAGTCCATTGGACAGAAAAAGACTTCAAAAGCAAGTATATAATATTTAAGTATTGTATGCATGAAGAGAAAATTCATACAAAATTGGCATTTATAAGTTCAAGATTATTAATAGGAGAGAGGTTATTGTTTTTCTCTGAGGCAAGATGAAACTGGGGAGATAATGGCCCTTGAAAAGTAGAGAAGGAAAACTGCCACTGTTTTGACTACTTTTGAATGAGCAAATCAAACAAGATTTCAAAAAGAGCAGAAGCTGCATCAACACTGTCATCCTACAGACAAATGTATATTCACTCTCAAGGCAATTTCTTCACTCTGTTTTCTCAACTAAAGATAATTATCAAAATACGTGATGTTGTTGTATCATTTAGATTCTGTTTTTCCTCAAGTTTTATGGACTATTACGCATGTAGAAATAAAAATCTCTTTAGCTGAGACTGTCACATTTTTAATATCATACTATGATAGAATGATTCTATTCACATTTCCTATAAATTCTGGAAAATAATTCTTCCCATCCTGATTTTTTTCTTATCAAATTTGAGGGAAAATTTTGTTGTGCTGATTAGATCTCAAAACTGACTTTTATTTTTACTCTCAGTTTTTTTTTAAATCAAATTTGAAGTAAAAATTTTTGTATTGATTTTTCAATGACCAGGTTCTCTTTTTCAGAGTTTGAATTCTTGTAGTTAATGTAGCTGTCTCATCTTCATAACATTGTTGTGCCATGTCTCACCTTCATAAAGATGCCTTGTTCATAGTTTAAAATAGTGATTTGATAAATGATGTTATACAGTTGAATTTAGAGTGGGTTATCTACTATTTTGGTCTGTTGTGTTAGGCTTTCTATAATTTGTAATGAGTGACCTTATAATCACTGACCTTAGGAAATAGGAGAGACCAGAAGTTAGGAGACATATGACCCATTTTAACCTATGGTAGTATCCCTTCTACTATGAAAATGTAAACAGCTTTAGTAGAAAGATTTTCTCCCTGTGGTAGATTCAGGGCTGGTCAGAAAGATGTCATAATAAACAAACTACCATTTGGTACTAGCATTACAATTAATGGGTTAATGTAAGCATCGTTAAAAAGGAAGAATTTCAATGACGAGGTTAGGTATATGTTATTGATATTCTCTAAATGTTTATTGTTATAAATAACAACATGTTTGGATTTAAATTTTTGCTAGTCTTGCAGGCTGATTTGAGGGAGATTTTCTTGGTTAACTTATATAACCAAACTAGAACCGTAACTTCTGTATGATTTTTGTGCTACCGAATGGAGTAGGTATTTGTGGAATAAAATGTAGCAGTTCTTCTGTTTCCCTTCAGTGCAGGATTTTCTTGAATGGAGTTCTACTTCTCACCAATTGAGAACAAAACCCATTCTTATTTTAGGGGATTATGTTAATTTTGCTTCCCTCTCCCAATGGCAGTTGAAGGTACAAGTAACTGTATCCTTTCTCTGGTCTTGTGAGTAGTGACAGTGAATCCCCAGTTGATGGTGGTCATATATGCCTGGGCCTCTGTGATTCAGCAGATGCATAGAGTTCTTTCAGTTCAAGTTTGATGTAAGTTCAAACATATAGCAGATATCGAGTAGACACTGATGTTATGACCTTTATGAGAGAATTGTGACATGCGCACATTTTTTGAAAGGCAGAGACTTTTCACCTAGGTATGTAACATTGTGTTTTAAGACACCTTTGACTTGATGAATTGACACTCTGAACTCAAACCTAAGGCAATCTTTTGGATAGCCTTTGCTCTCTTCTTCATCTTGGATCTTATTCCAACAACATGCAGTCATATTTTTCACAGAATTCTTTGGCCATATGATGCAGGCCATCTCCTGAAACATTCCTTTGAAATTTTTGTGCATTTTGATTTTTCTTCCCCCCAAAAGTGCTTTATTTTTTTCCCCACCTTTTTAATCTATACAATTATTTTATTTTATTATTTTCTTTATTTTGGAGATGTGGGGTACAATTCAGGGTTAGGTATACAAACATTGATTATGCAGGTACCCTTGT